AGCTCAGCAGCAAAGCGCCTGCCTGGCAAGCGCAAGGTCATGAGTTCGGTTCCCGGTACCGGAGAAAAACCAAAAAAAAAAAAAAAAAAAAGAGATAGACTGTGATATCCCTCTGCTTGATATCCTTCCATGGCTCCACACTGAATCAGGCCCCACACTGAATTCAACCATTTTTTTCTTAATTTCACAAATAGTTCCTGAGTCGGGCATTAATTCAAGATTAATTGGTCCTGCTTCCAACCATAGAAACCCAGTCTAGCAGTTGTCTTTAAATGTATGAAGATCAGCCTCACCTTGCGCATTTGCTAAAATGCAGATTCCTGGGCTGTAGCCCCAGAGCTTCTGATTCAGTGGGTCTGGGACGGACCTCAGGAATCTACATTTGTAATAAGTTTCCAGGCAATACTGCATCTGCCATTCCTGTGTGCACCCTTTGAGAACTACAGATCCAGAGGCAAGGATGATGTGTAAATAGATGGCCACAAGGTAGGCAGAGAGGCTATAAGTGTGGGGTGTTCTGAACACCGGGGCTGTCCAGGGAGAGCCCAGTGGAGGACCGGTGGGGTGTACTTGTTCATGGAGGTGGGGAGAGGGTGAAGGAACATTTTTACGGGAAATGTTCCATAGTATCATTTATATGTACACTACCACATTTAATCCTTATAAAAATTCTCAGTTGTAGGTTCTGTTATTATTCCTTTCCTAGAAGAATAATGAGGCTCAGAGAGGCTTTGTGACTTTTCTAAGTCTGACAGTAGATGTGCAGCTAGGACTCCAACCCTGCTCTAGCTCTTAGCCAGTGCTGTTTGTGATGAGCTGGGGTGGGATGTGGGCTGCCACAGGCAGGAGATGCACTGGTGAGGGTACGGCTGGAGCCAAGCTAGAGAGGAGGTCAGAGAGTGTTTAAAGGACTGAGGACGGCAGTGAGCCGGGGCACACACCTGCAATCCCAGCACTCTGAGAGGCTGAGGCCAGGGAACCGCCAGCTTGAGATCAGCCTGGAGAACTTACTGGGACTCTGTCTCAAAATAAATGATTTTTAAAAAAACAGGACTTGGGGTGTAGGTCAGGTGAAGGCACTAATTCCCACAATGCTCAGTACTGCCAAAAAAAAAGAAAAAGGTGAGATCAATTGTATACATTGATGACAAACTGTGAATGTCTCTGAAAGTCATGAGGAGAACTAAAGCTTGAAGGAGCAGTACGGACTGCAGGGACGCTTAGGTAGGGAAAGCATTTGAGAGGGTTTGTTATAACCTCGTCCACCAGTGGGGCTGGACAGAGGGCCCAGCGGCTAAAGACACAGAACTGACAAGTTAAACGTACTCAGGGAGGGGAGGCGTTGATTCCACGCCCAATTTTCAGGCTCGTTTGAGTAGAGGGACAACTGGTGAAGAAGATCACTTTTAAATGGTAGGAATGGCAACTGTTGATCTAGGCCAGTGCTATCCAAGGAAACAGAAAACAAAACAACAACTATATATATAGATAGATAGAGAGAGAGAGAGAGAGAGAGAGAGCAAGCAAGGTCTATAACTTAAAATTATCTAGTAGCTACATTCATTCATGCATTAAAAACTTTTAATGTATGAAATTAGTTTTAATAATTTCTTAACCCCAGTATATCCAATTATAATTTGTACATGTTCTGCACATTAAGATTTATGAGTGAGATAACTTCCGTCATTTGTTCCTACTACATCTTCGGATACCAGAGTGTACTCTACTTGTAACGCATCTCCACCTGGACCCACCATGTTTCAAGAGCTCTGTAGCCCTGGGGCTGGGGCGACTACACTGGGCAGCGTGGCCCTAACACCCGCCTCTTCTGCCAGCCTCCTCCCTTCACGCTGTGCTCCAAACAGTGGGTAGTCTAACTGTGTCCCCCCGTGTGAAGGGATTACCATGTAACAATCACTGGACCCATATTTTCTCATTTTACTCAGCCCTCCTTGCTCACTACCCTTACATGCATAAGTGTAATTCTTTCTGGGTTTCAGATTGAGACACTGAAGTAAAGTTCAGAACTTTATCCCAGCTCATGTGGCAGAGCACTTGTCCGGATCTGCTGGATAGCGCTCCACTTCTTCTTAACCTTGTGCTGCCCTTGTCTCCACCTGGTAGGTTCAAGATAAAAGCAGGCTGAACAACCAGGTCTAGTTCAACACATTTTTTTTAAATTCTGAAACTGAGACGATCGGGTTGACTGAATGGTTCAGGGACATAGCTTTAGTGGCAGAGCTGAGATTAGGAAAAAAAATGTATTGAATTACCAATGGAAAGACACAGAATAATGCTGTCCAAGTGACAGAATACATAGCTTCATTATCATATAAATATTATTATTACATTCTAAGAAATTCC